AACTGCATTGTCAGTTATATACGAAGGTATATTTAAAGCAATTTAGCAATCCATGCTGCGCAAGGTAACAAATTAAAAATACAGTTCTGCAAAACGCAGCACTGTTAAGGCCTACTATGAGAAATCAACGGAAAATAGACGTGCAAAAAAGGGATATGTTTTTAAAATTTGAATTTATCTTAATTTAGCTGTTTTATTATCATAGAACTTTAATACTTATGGAAATAGCATTATATAACCAACTCTGTACTGTATGATTGATTGATTATATACTGTTTAACGTCCCTCTCCAGAATATTTCACTGATATGGAGACGTCAACATTGCCGGTGAAGGGCTGCAAATTTGGGCCTATGCTCGGCACTCAGGGCCATTGAGCAGGGAGGGATCTTTATCGTGCCACACCTGCTGTGACACGGGGCCTCGGTTTAAACGGTCTCATCCGAAGGACCGCCCCATTTAGTCGCCTCATACGACAAGCAAGGGGGTACTGAGGACCTATTCTAACCCGGATCCCCACGGGACTGTACTGTATGAAGTTAAGTCCCATCGATTGAAGCAACGTGATGAATGCATAGTTTGTGTACTGAATATAGGTCATTAACAAATTTCAATATCGCAAGGGCATACCCTAGTTGAAATTAAAAATTCAAGCTATTAATTGTTTCTGCATACTTTGTAGTTTCTGAAAAGTGATGCTGCTTTGAATAGAATTCGCGTTTTAAAAGATAAATTTTCAAGTTAATAAGCCAATGTCGAAATATGTTTGACTTTTACCAAATATTTTGTGTACTTATGAAGGGTAGACAGGACACATATCACATGACTAAAAAGAAATATCACGTCATAATCTGTGATGATATACATGTTAAGCGTTGTTAGAATCAACAGTTCTTGTGTAATTTTATTCTAAATTCTAAAGTTGTTTTTTAAAAATTTAATTTGAGAAATTATTATTATTAAAATTTTAAAGATCTTGCCATCATTTAGATATTGTAAATTTGCCCAATCCACACATTTGTTTCTCTTAACCCTGCACTCTGACGTCAGTGACGTCATAGACGTAGACGTTGCGCATGGTGTTTGTGTCAGTTTCGGTAACGTCAAAAGAACTTTTTCTACGTAAAGTTCTACAAAATTTATTCGACGTTACTTTTTTGCTAACATTTTTTATGGAGAAAAAATAAAAACCCAGTAATGCCGCCAATTAAATAAATCAAGTAATTGAAAACACGTGTAATTAAATTCTCTGCACTCTTTTGCATGTATATTGCGGGAGGAAAATATGCGCATGTTTGCTTCATTAAAAAAAAATTGTAGAAATAACGAAACTTGTTCTTCAGCGCATTTTAAATTTTACATGCTTTTTTATTTTATTGAGATAAATTCAAAAAAATTCTATATGATATCATATCAGTAGGCTCTAGAACCTATCCTTTGTTTTCGGTAAATTGTACGATTGTAGATATGTTGCTGATTTAGCATTGAATTATTTTTCCCCATCCCATCTTGTAATGAAAATCTGATGCATTTGTATTCACCTCCGACAACCCCATACCCTTATTCAATATTGGACTATTCAATGTAAACTCGCCATCTATAGAACAGTTTATACCAGCATAAAATAGAGTTGACACACTTTACTGTGAATAAATTCATATTTGAAATCATATCCTTGAATAAATTTTGGTTTGTGTGAATTTTTTCTCGTGTCTTATTCGAACTCTAAATGGTACTTTTGTACAGATTCTGACAAGGATATATACCGATACAGTGTACAAGTATACACTGCACGTGTTTTACTTTTATATATAAATACGTTTAAAACTTAAATCAATCACTCTTCTCATTAATCGTTATTGGTGTGTTTTTCTTTTATCCATATCAGGCTCATCAGCGATAAAAGAGCAAGTTTTGGAGAGAGAAACATATTTTGATGCTTTACATAACATTTTATGCAATGAACTTAACAACGTCATTTGAATGCCAATTTTTTACGTCTGTGACATTTATGTTGACATTTAATTTTTGTTAAGATTTTGTCACCATTCTATTGAAATTATTTTGGAATATACCAATAACTTTTTGAAAAGATGCACATTTCAAAAAAATCCTTTAACTTTCAATATGTCTATTTTCAATGACTAAACATATGATCCATGTTACCACATTTATGCAAATATAGTCAGATTTATTACTTTTTGACAATGCGTGACATTTATGTTGACTTTGAAAAAAAGCCTTTAAAACAAACACTTCTTTATAGAATCAATTCATTTACATATCTAAATAAAGTTTTGATTTTGCACATTTTGTATTTAACTTTGTTTGGTGCCAAATTAAAAAAAACGAATTCTTAAAATGTAGGCCATTGCTGGAGTGTAGCATTTAAACGTGACGTTTTTGCCGTTAAAATCAATTGTGACGTATAGCTACATATAGTACATATATGTAACACGGCAAACATCCAGCATTACAAAATTTGCCATATGACAAATCTTAAACACTTTGCGACATTGAACCTCAAAACTTTGTGACACACCATCTTAGTCAATGCCCCCACGATAAATCGGCTTAATATCAGAAACCCAACATACATATCGACACAAAATATAAGTCTAATTTAAAATATAGTTCCTTGCACACAAAAAGGATCTTTGACATGCGATTTCAAAATTGATTGTGCTCATGAAACTATTTTTTTAAGTTACCGATGACATTTCATGTTCCTTCCATATTTCTTCGGATAACGCTTATCTAAATCACTGTCTTGCATTTTTAACGACGCGTTCACAGCATTCGGATTGAACAACATCACAATTGTAAAGCTTTAGATCATTAACATCATATTTTGAACTTTTCTGCTAAATTTTATGTTTGTATTGTTTGTTTTATGGAAATTATCAACATTTTCTTATTGCGTGTGCGACGCTCCTGTTACCGATCTACATGCGTTTTTGACGTAATTGATTGAATAGTCGAATTTATATATTTGATAAATGGAATTTTTTAATCAATATTTTTGTTAAAATGTATTTAGTATACAATTACCGACCGAATGATATGTAGTTTTCATATATTGAATTGTTTAAAAATTATGGAAATAGCGCAAATGCCGCCGCAATAGTAATTTTCGACATTTTGACACCAACACCGTGCGCGACGTCGTAGTGTTTGCATTCTCAGTGCAGCGAGATCAAGTACACACACCCGTCGTGATCAGTGTTATTTCATAATAAACAGGCCACAGTCAATGTATCGTAATAAATTTCTCAAGCAGATTTTTTAAAATTTATATTTTTCGTGTTTGGTAGCAGAGATTCTTTCTATTTTAGATAATTTTGAATATTTATATTTTCGTGTGACGTCACAATTGATTTCCCGAACTCGGAAAATACAAACGTGAAGCTTTTTTATCATGCTTACGTCTAATTCAACGATGTCCTGTGCGATATTGAGATAAGCTTCACCCTGTGATATTTATGCAGTAAATAATTACGAATAAGGAGGACTGAGATTCAATCTTAAAATTAGAAATATCATTGACAGATTTTTTTTTCCAAATGAGGTTTTTGTCGTTGAAGCTGCCTTGAAAATGCAGGAATTATCCCACCCAAATACTATATAAAATTAAAACAAGTGCTTTCAGATAATCTAAACACTATGAATATTATGAAATATTTTACTATATAGTGTTATCTATCATATTTATCCTTTGTGCGTAAAAATTTGCATTATGGACTCCGTTATGGGCCCGAAAACATGAAGTATCTCTACTCCATACAAACTTTAAACAGGGCGGTATTTGTGGGGCGATATCTTTAAACAAATCAAGAAGTCCCATGAAAGAACCGTTTAAAAATGTTAAATGCATATTAAAATAGTAATTTAAAAAATAAGAAAAAAAAATCATTGACAGGTCCTGTTCCTCCTTAAATCACACCCTCGATTTAAAGAAAGCAGCAGCACTTTTCAAGTTAAGGAAAATATCCTTTATTTATATTCAAAAAATGGTTACGATTTATTTTGTGTATGCCCTTGTAAAAGCACGATTTAATGAGGCATCTCGATGTAAAATATACCTAACCTGTATATAAAAACACGACATAATTCATAAATACATTCTCTTGATAGTGAATTAATAATCACACTAATTAAAGGATATACATTGGTATAAATCGACTATTTAAAATCTTTAAATAATATTTCGTTAAGTAATAAAACGCATTTTCCATTGTTAAAAAATTCCTCAATCTGCCTCTCACAGCACATGAAATACGTCATTTTTACCAATATGACGTCATGTTTACAAGTTCATCGCAATCAGTGATTTGCTTATAACTAGCAACTTTTTTAAATGCATTAATAAGTTATATTGTTGTTTATTATGCTAATACGGTTAAAAGTTGCAAATTATTTCATTTTCAGGTATTATGAATAAATAAAAGTCATATTTTTGTGTGACATCACAGTAAACTTTTCCCGTATAAATTAGGCCCTGTCCCCTTTTTCAAGCCTAAACAATGCTGCGATTTTTTTTTCATCATGTATTTTTACTATATAAACAAAAGAGTTCCATTCTAAGACCAGAACCCCTGACCCTGGGGCCATAAAATTCACAAATTTGGTAGAGGCACTCTTAATTGCTCATTATTACTATGTACTTAGTTGGTTTATTAAATAACCAGGAGCAGAGAAGATTTTTAAAGAAATAATGCATTTTCACTATATACTTATTTAGCCCTGCCCCAACAAATCGTAAATCATCATTCAATCAATGAAAAATAAAAGACTCATGGAACTATCGCTCTAAAAAAAATAGAGGAAATATTTGTTCACCAGTTTCAAGGAAAATTGTATGACTTAATTATCAAAACCCATTCATCTTTAAGTGCATGTTTCGTCAAAGAAGTTTATTTCACCAAAGAGAAGACTTTACAGATTTTTTTTTTTTTGGCATTTAAATAAATATAGTTTTTGACAATTCTGAGTAAACAATACCTTTGTACTCCCAATTTGCAAAAACAGTATCTTCCTGGTCACACACTTTCTTATTCACCTTCTGGTCAAGACGTTTAGAGGCGTCCACCACCACAACATAGAAAGCTCTCCTGGTCAGGTAAATCTGGTGACAGGCGTAGTACGCACATTGTCCCGCAAAATCATAGAAACTAAGTGTTTTCTGGTTACAAGTATCTGGTTTTGCTTTTCTTTTTTTATTTGATTCATTGATATCGTTCTTCACTAAAATGTACAAAAATAAATGAAAGAAAATAAATACAAAGGGGCTTGCTTTAAGATTGAAAATAAGAGACTAACTAAGAAGTCAATGAAATATCCAAACCGTGTTATTTAAGCAAGGAAAATTTAGGCAAAACCAATGAGTTAAAAAACTCATTATAAAACGTTTCCCTATAGAAGTATAAAAGAGTTACTAAGAACTCTTCAGTAACAAATTTTAAATGGTTAACATTGAATAACTATCCTGTATTACTTTAAAACATAATTCAATATTAAAGATTTGGATAAAAATGTTCTATCACACTTTAACGAATAAATTATATGTGAACACGTTTTAAGTGAGGTATTTATATATACAGTGTACACTACCAAACATATAAATGTTTAATCAGTTTAGATTTGTTTTCTTCGATACTACGTGAAGTTTCTCCGTACTCAGAAGTTACTTGTACCACAGTCAGGAGGGATTTCTTTTTTAAAAAAGTGTGGGTTTTCTGTACATAACCCACACTTTTCTATAACTCTGCCCATCAAGCCGGGACAAAAGAACTATGAAATCATGCACAATTTCTAAATGAAACAATCACCTGGGCTTGTTTTACCAAATTTAGGAGAATAAAAGAGTAAAAATCTTCAATTGTAGACAGCATTATTTAATAATTAACAGTAGGAAACGGGCATCAATTCTTTAACTTTACCTTAAAAGAAAAACTTCCGAAATCGCTTGATTTTTTTAAATTTCTTTTGTCATGTTCAGGGTGACGTTTGCTTAGTAGATTCCAATATGGTTATTTTGATACACAGTACAAAAATGAAGTAAACACTACTGTACTTAAATAAAATCTTTGGTTGCTGATCTAGCCGAGCAAAGATCTAATTTTCATCAAATTGAAATATACACGTACATAACCTCTTACAAACATTTTAATCAACGTACCATGGTGTACGACAAAGTATGTATCGGGTTTACATAAAATTAACTTAAACAAAGTTCATAATAAATTTAAATTATTTGATTTTGACGATTGAAATGTATAAGAAATAAATAAAATACCGAATCAACACATTTCAGAGTAAGCAGACTCGTTAATTTTTCATTTACATGAAGGATATGGAGAAAAAGAACAGTCTTCCATCTCAAAGTTGATAAAACAATACAAAATAAGAGGAGACAAACACGGACCTCCCAAACATCAGAGGTGGGATCAGGTGACATGGAGGAGTGAGTATCCCCTGCCGACTGGTCACACCCCAGACAAACTTTTTAAACAGACTTAGATATGTTTAATTTTTACGTCGCTCACGTGGTGCAGTGGTTAGAGCGCCTGCCCTAGAGTCAAGAAGTAAGGAGTTGAATCCCACTCTGGGATGTGGAGACCGTATTAACAGAGGCCCCGTGTCGCAGACGGTGTTAGAACAAAGAATATCAATCACTGCTCAATGACCCTGAGTGTCGAGTAAAGGACAAAATTTGTAGCTCTCCATCGGCATATGACGTAGCGTCTCCACATGAGTTAAAAATGCTCGAGAACGCTAAACAACATATACAATCAATTTTTGAAAAGTACTGTATACAAATTACTTCGATGGAAGTGGTCATAATGCCACGAAGGAGCATAAAATCATATAAAATAAACATGTATTGAAAACAAACACTGAATGTTTCAATCACACGAACAAGTCCGACCAATTCCTAAGCTGACTTACATACATGTATGAATAATTTTTGAACACTATGGTACAAGTTATTTACCCCATATAATACTGTTGATTATGTTCAGATAACCGATGGGCGTTGTCATAATGACAACTCGGGAGCTACGCTCCCTCGTGTCATTATGACCACGCCCATCAGCTATCTGCACATAACAAACAGTATTATACGGGGTAACTACTACTTATTTCATGTATTACGGTCTGATTGATTTTTAAAGAATCGGCAGTAATCAGTTTTGCCCACTCTTCATATGTAGACATTTAAAGTAATTCTGTCTACAAATACAGGTCAAAAGAATTTCTTATATATACGTCATTTATCATTAAATTTTGAAGAAAATTTTGACATCCCTACTTTAAATTTCAATTTCTAATGATTTACCTTTGAGTGTTCCTTCCTCTTCGCAGATTTCAAATACTTCCTCGTGGACCTCTAATCCTTCTGTTGACTCTATTTTCTTTAATTCATTCTCACTGCGCTTCAGTAGACGATTCAGTAGCGTGGTCTTCCCCGACCAAGCACATCCTACAATCATTCCCCGGGCGTGATGGACTTCCTGTACTCCCCCTCTCTCAGCGTACTGAACGTACCGCTCTCTGGCTTTCTGGTCCCATTTCAATATTTCTCCTGGCACTTTCACTGCCAAAATCACAATTAAAACTGTTCTACATCAAAAAGAAAAAAACCGGTCTTTTCCTCATATTTAAGGTCAGTCGACCACAATCAAGGTCACAATGTCTTTGATTAAAGTGCTCAATTAGTGAAGTATGCATACCAAATATGAAGTCTATATCTCTCAAGGTTCTCTCATACGTTCTGTGAAGGTTAATGTTGACAAAAGACAGACAAACAGGTAAATGAACAGGTAAATAAGCAGACAGGACAAAAACAATATAATGCCCCCGGCACATAAAATATTAAAATAGATTTGTTTCTTTAGGAGTACAGTACATTGAAACAGTATTGTACAGCTACATGTATATGAATGCTCAGTCTCCTATAGAAGTTATATGTTCGTGGGAATTCGATCAGTTCTGTAAAATTCTTTTTATATCTAATTTGAAAAATAGGCAATCGCAGCTTAATTTTAAAATATATATCTTTACCCCCAGGCAGCATGACTACGTGGGGCCAACGTTGATTAAAGGTTGTATGGTTAGCCGATTTTTTGGCGTTGGGAAGACAATGTTGGGCCAACGTTGGACCAACGTTACCATGTGAATTTCCACTTTAGTACCAAACCATGTTGGGATTCTTACGTTTACCAACGTTGGTCAAACATCAACTAATTTCGTTAAATAATATTTTCTATTGAAGTTAGGGTTCAGAGTTGACCCTCTGTTGGCCCAACGTTTGCAATGCAACCTTTACCAAATTGTCAATTTAATCTGGTAGCCGTATGTTGGTCCAATGTTGACCCAATGACTTATATAGTTAGAGTGAGTACGTTGATCTAACCTTGGGCCAACAGTTGGACTGCAAACTTAAAGAACTATGTGTATGCGCTGTGACCGATATGTTGGCCCAAAAGTTTGCCCAGTGTTTATTTTATGCTAGGCATTTATGAAAAGATCATTTAGGCTTGTAAACTACGCTGGTCAAACGTTGGTCCCCAGCTATGTTAAGGAAGGTCAGAGCTCAAGTTCGTTTTACACTATATAGAGGTTTAATTGTGACGTCATGGATAATTCAAAAGGCCACGCAATTAATTAACGATATTGTGATGCGTAAATAACAATTTAGATTTATTTTATCAATCAATTATACAATATTGCGAAATTGCAATACATTGTATTTGATAGCAATACAGTTGAGTAGTAGAAGAAAGCCTCTCGTCAAATATGACGTCATCAGCCTTGAAATGACGCAGTACAGGTGATCCAGAGTACTAGATTTACTAGTTTTATGATTACACATGTGCTTAAATAAATATGATATCATCTCTATTATCAAAAAATAGTCATTAAAACTAAATCAAAATAATTAATTAAATACAATTTTATAAATATGAATTTATCTAGTAGCATATGAAGCAGCACAGGGACAAAAAATGTAGAAAATATTGATAGAGCGATAAGCGCATTCATGATACACATCAAAAGTGCAAAGTGCAAATGTAAATTGTGTTTCCTCGCATTTTCAAAATTTTACCATGAGACAAATTTATCTAGGTTTCCAGCCGTAGTTAATGATCTGACATACATGTATAAAAAAAAAAAACTAAACAGTGATTTCCAGAATAATATCTGTTAATTATTGAGACATGACCAATACTTACACATGTTACAGATCCTGTCATGAATTACCCTGTCAGACACGGTACAATGTGTGATGATATCCAGCTGTAGTTTATCTATAAAGAGGTCGTACATCTTCTTCGGGTGGGCCGGTATATACAGACATCTCTCTCCCTCACTCCCCTTATAGTCCCAGGACCTGCAGTATTCTGATATCACGTAACGTGAGGCCGTGGTTAGAAAAAACTCCAGATCACTGTCCTCTACCAGACACTCCGTTACAAAGGCGTACATGAAGTCATGACGGATGTTATCTGATATAAATGTTATCACACCGTCACGTGTTTCTTTAATTCCATCGGGAAGATCTACAGAACACGTTTCCGTGAGATCAGGAAAATATCTGTCTCTGATTTTGTCCCTTATGATTCTGTGTGATTGTTCATTGAGATTCAGCTGATATTTGTCAACTAACAGTATGCTGTACAATAGATTCCGAATTTCCTGCGAATAGTTATGACATTCACCTACAATGGGAAGAAAGCTTTTTTTTAATATCAGTAACATTTCAACTGGAATAAAAGATAATAATTTCGGCGATTGATCATTTATAATTTATAACATGTATAAGGAATTTCAATTGCCATATTTGACATGTACATAATAATACTATTTAACTTTCTGGGGAAATCTGTATTTTTTTTACTCAATTATGGCTGATATATAACACATTTTATTCCACAACTCTATATAATACAACTCTATATAATTTAACACTTGTTTTTTTTTTATAAAAGGGTTGATCCAAAAGTTCGTGGAATTCCTTTCTTAAATTTTATCGTCTTTTGATGAAAGCAAACAAACAGGCATATTTATAATATTGAGTCATAATGCAACTATATTGGAAAATTTCAACACTTTCCAAATACCAATAAGGTCACACGAGCTATCTGAAAATGGAAAATTGTGAAACCCGGGGAAGACTTCGACGTTCCGTAAAGTTAGTAATGTCTCGTTTATAGAAACACCTCACCCGAATATCAAATTCGAAACCGTAATTCTAAAAAAAATGCTCCCCTTTTCTACATTTTCTTTCTTGGAAAAAGCCTGGGTATCCTCTCGCACCAACTGATCTTCATTTTTCACTCAGATTCCAAAATTCTCCCCATCTTTCTATATGATGTTCCAATTTCAGTAGCTATATCAAGAACAGTATTTCAAATTTTTCTTTATCTTAAATATTAAACCAGTGTCTATATTCGCATTTGTAATTTTCAACCAATGTCAAAGATATGAAGAAACTCCACTAATTTTTGGATCAACCCTCGTACAAAGAATTTCAAGTATTGATTCTATCTGGACAGAAATAAAATGAACTATTGAAAGTAAACCACCCCCCCTCCATACCCAAGTTATCGTTTTTCACGTTTGTTTTAACCAGGGTATATTTTCGGTGCGTATAATTGATGTTCTAAACAAATTCTTAATAGTTATATCTAGAGAGAATGTTCTAAATTGAAACTTAGCTTAGCTAGATTTTCAACGAGAAAGAAAAAAATACTATAACAAACTATAACTTCTTGATTGAAAAAAAAAAAAAAATTCAATTCAAATATTTTTTTTTGAGACAGTTTTAGTTCAATTATGGGGGAAAAATCACACTTTCTTTTCAATTGTTTATTGTTCTAACCTTTTTTTACATATACAGATGTATCTGCACAGTAGATAAAATAATCAAGTTAACATTTTATGAAAAAAAATCCCTTTCATATGACATAATTTGATGATGCAAACTAAACATATTAATTACGTTTACCAACAAGAGTGTTGGACAAAAAGGAAACAAGATTTAATGACATTTACGCTAATTCTTTAAATAAATGAAATATGAAAGCAACTGAGTCAATTGATTAAAAAAATTCAGGCAAAAGAAGTTAAGTAAAACAAGAGGTCCATGGGCCACATCGCTTACCTGAGAAGCTTTGACCATGCTATTCTTTACCAGATTCAAAATTTAAAATCTACACTACACATATCTCAGAAAGCTTCTACATTAGTTTCAGCTTTTCTGGCCCAGTGGTTCTTGAGAGGAAGATTTTTAAAGATTTTTCCCATATATTTCTAGGTAAAACTTTGATTCCCCATTGTGGCCCTACTCTACCCCTGAGTGTCATGATCTAAACAATTTAGAATATACACTTACCCAGGATGCTTCCACATTAGGTTAAGTTTTTCTGGTCCAGTGGTTCTTGACAAGAAGATTTTTCAAGTTTTTTTCCTATACATTTCTATGTAAAAGTTTGATTCCCCATTGTGGCCCCGCCCTTCCCCCGGGGGTCATAATTTGAACAATTTAGAATCTACACTACCCCAGGATGCTTCCAAATTATTTTCAGATTTTCTGGCCCAGTGGTTCTTGAGAAGAAGATTTTTATGGACCTCACCCTTTTTTGTCTTTTCTTGATTATCTCCCCTTCTGAAAGGACTTGGCCCTTCATTTATACAATTTAATTTTTTTCACCCAAGGATGCTTTGTGCCAGGTTTAGTCAAAATTGGCTCAGTGGTTCTTGAGAAGAAGTCGAAAATATGAAAAGTTTACAGACGGACGGACAGGCGGACGGACCACGGACAAAATGTGATCAGAAAAGCTCACTTGAGCCTTTGGTTCAGGTGACCAAATAAAAGCTAAAAAGTTGATGAAAATAAACCCTACTTGTTGTACCTGATGTGAAGGCATACTCAAAATAAATCTGAAATCTCCAAAAAACATCCTGTCACAGACACTAAGTTTCAAATTCTTGTTGCTCATCTCTGCAGAGACAAACTTTCTGATTGGTTAGCCTGAATACCCCTAATGCTCCTTGAGATCTAGCAAAATCTAGTACATGGTAAAAATTCCACACTTATGCTTGCTCATACCATACTGATCTTCACTTATAGATGAGGTATAAGTGAAATACTCACTGATATGTAGCTGATATTTACTTATAAATGAAGTATCCATGAAATCTGTTCTCACTTATACTTAATTTGACTTATGGTACAAAGTAAATTTCAAAATGTATGTGACATAAATTGCTAATAAGTGGATTATAAAACACTTATAAGTTTCTATTAGTTTTTTCCGAAAGGGTTTTAAGTTTTTGGAATAATGTTATATATGCCATAAATCCCTATTGCACAACCTGCTTTTTTTTAGTGTATGTCCCCAACCTTATTTCCCTCCCCCTTGCAATCAACTAATGTTCTTTTTTTTTTAATGAGGGGGTACATTCTTTGAATAAGCCTGTTAAATTTTGAAATATAATTGCCGTTCTAAAAATATTTTTTTTGTTTAAACAATAGCCATACGTGCTGGCAGATATAAATAGATACAGTTCTTATCATGAATTTTAGACTGTTCAAAAGTCAAGATAATTCTTATAAATAAAATAAATAAAACGGTCACCAACTATGCATTGTGAGTATCAATTCGATCCAAATTCCAAGGTAAAAATTTTAAAGTCTTAATTAAAAACCAATCAGAGGTACGAGAGATTGCTACAGTTGTATCATGAGTGTTTAGTAATTGTTATTCATATATTGATTGATAAGAACAGATATATTTGTTTATGGAATAATAGACAAATCTCTTTCATGTTACACTAATAAATTGTAAAATATATGAGTAAAATATATGAATAAAACATCAAGAGAGTTAACAATTACAGGAAAGAGGATGTTTGATATTTTATCTAGTCATATATTTCCTATTCTGACATTCATGAACACTGTAAATAAAGTCATGCCATAGATATCACCTTAATGTATGCATTTAACTTCAATTTTATTAATTCCTGTATGAATGAAGATATACGTACATGTTAACATATGCATACTGTGTCACTACAATATTCCATTTATTCAATATCACATTTTCTTTATCTAATTTATGTATTAATAAAACTTTATAATGTTTGAATACATGAGTGCACAATATTACAATGAAAACATTAATCGTGTATGTGCGAATTAACACCCCCCCCCCCCCCCCCCTTTACAGGATGATCAAGTTTTGGGAAAAAATTAACACTCTGTCTCTGCTTGATAAATTTGAATAATTTTGTGGATTTAGATCGAGACAGGCACAAGTGTATATATGCATCTATCTTTTTTCTAAGCTTAGACGAAAAATAATAACTTGGTGACCCACTTTGTACATGTATTGTATTATTAATTATAGTTCATTATAATTTATGGTTTAAGAAATATATCTCTGATTAATCATGTTCCCCAAACGAAGTTGGGGAACATATTGTTTTTACTCTGTATTATATTATTATGTCGTCCCGAACGAAGTCGGGGACGACATATTGTTATTGTACGCATGTTTTTGTTATACAAGCTGTTTCTCGGAGATGGCTGGGGCAATCGTCCTGAAACTTTCCTCAAAGGAAGATCGCAGGTTGTAGTTGTGTTGTGTGGTCATTCAGTTTCAAAATGGCTACCGTTGCCATGGAAACCTGCAAAAAGCAACGAATTTTGTCCGCGAGTGTTCTCTCTGATCCCTTGAACATTCTTCATGAAATTTTATTTATGTAATGATTGGTATCTGTAATTGTGCTCATTGGATTTAAAAATTGGAAATTGTCAATAGTTTCCATGAAAAAGGTGAAAAGTGAAAATTCTTTAACTTTAAATCAAAGTACTGAAAGTACTGAGAGGACTGATACGAGCTGATGGTTTTCCAAGCCTAGCTATAATGGGTATTGTTTTAGTGATCATATAAAAAATGAAAGTCTTTTCCAGTTCGGGACTACATAAGCTATTGCTTGCAGTAGCAGACATTCAAGTTATTAAGGTCTTCCGTCTTCAGCGGAAGACCTTTTTGTTTTTCTTACGTTTCTTTTCCATTAAGGTCTTTCGTCTTCAGCGGAAGACCTTTTTGTTATTCTTGGGTTTCTTTTTCACTTTTTTTCTTACCTATTATTATTCTTTTTTTTTTCTTACCGATTTTGTTCACGCGATTTCTCGAAAACGACTCAATGGATTTTAATGAAACTTTCTGGACTAATGTAACATTACTTAAACTTGATTTATTTTTTTTCGTTTTGATGACGTCACTTCCGGTCCGGAAATATTGTCGATTTTATGATTTTTTAAGGGTCAGATTGTCCGCGAACATTCTAAAAAATGGCTATAGATAGAAACGTGAAAATTTCAGGTATGATAGTCCTAAGTCTATAGATGTGCAAAATGTATTTCATTTTTATCGGAAGTCCCGCACATCGGCGCTCGCTATGGCCCGAAAATAGTCGTCTCACGAATTTCGAAATTTTTAACACCTTTTCATCGATATTTTTTTACCTGAAATATTTTGCTAAGACATATAGAACAAAAGAAGTGTAGAATTCTAAGATCTTTTAAATCATATCTTGTAAAAAGGACTGGCCCCTAAATTCAAGGGCCAAGAGGGGCCGAAAGATTTTTCTTCATATCTCAAAACGTATTGAGAATTTGTAATACGTCAAAGAAGCAAAGTTGTTT